GAAATTGTAATGACAGTATCAATTGTAAAAGCTCCATGTGAAAGTGTAATATGACAATATCTGTAGTGTAAAGCTTCATCTGAAAATGTAATATGACAGTATGTGTAGCATAAATTTATACTTCAAATTTCAATAGCGCTTGAAGCGTATAAAAAAAAACGAAAAAGAAAAAACTTGTGCGCTTGACGTAGTAAATTTTAAGAAATTAATTTGATTTTACAAGACTTATTCATATTAGCTCTCAATTCTAATAATAGGTGAAATTTTTAATATAATATCGATGAACAGAATGTTTCATAATATATTCGATTTAAATGTTGTTTACAAAATGGAAATAAATACACAACGTGTTTTCAGACAAATACACGTACTTTTTTGAGAAACTCGTAGCTTATGAACAGTGACAAAACTGTATTTTTAAAATCATATCTTAATACCGTATCAATTAATTATTTTACGATGTAATGAAACGAATTTTTGAAATGTTACATAAACTTGTTATCGCCTAAGTAGTAAGTCATTTTTATAATAGAATGAAGTATGAAAAATAATTATCGCAGGTCAGTTTATTTATTCTTACCTCCCTACAAATCAATTATTTAACATATGAATTGTTATTGCATTTTAGTTTTGTAATAAGACAAACGAAGAACCTTTGTACAACTACAACACCAATTAGTGTAATTACTAACTAGCCTTAATGTTGCAATGTGAGTTAAGCCTATTTTTTTGCTGAAACTAGCGATGCTTGGGTCATTTTGAAGTACATATATTAAAGTAAGACGTAAATATTTATAACAGTTAACTCTTAATATCATGAAACGGGTTTGGGGTAGGTTTCTGGAGTTTCTCTTAAACTTACATTTCTAACACTGTGATCATGTACCCTTGAAAAACCTGTCTTACACCAAGCGACTGGAGCGACCTCTTTAGGATTAACTGGATTATTGTGATATTTCATTATAAGTAGTACTCTAAAAAGGATCAACAATGAGAACAATTAAAAGACATGAGCTATTTAATATCACATTTTAATTTCCACAAACTGTACTTACAAAGCAAACGGGTAGAGTTAGATTAGATTTTTTATAAATAACATTAATAGTCAAATATTCGTATACTAAACCCTTTTAATACAAACTAAAAATAAAAACTATTTTCATTGGTTGCTATTATACTCTGATAATATACAGGATTATATACACAAAATGTCTACGGCAGTCCTTCAGAAGGCACACCTACTAGGCCTACTTTTTCATTTTGTGAATGTCAGTTTCGTTTCAACAGTTCCTTCACTTGTAAACAAGATGATCGCACCAAAGATCTTCGAACTTTCTTCTTGTTCACTGTCTCGGACACCTCTACCTCGCAGATCTCAGGCTAAATAGAAGAAGAAAATGTAGACCAGTAAAATTACAAATAGAAAAATGAAATTTTATTAAGTTCAAATTTCCAAACAACTCTGGTTTTGTTAAATTATGCATTCTGATGTAAACAAATAAAGACACCCAAATATTCAAGACATTTAAGGAACAGGTAATAAAAGTGATGGTCAAATCCTATTATTCAACCTAAAAGTTGGCGGTGAGATTGTTGATTAGCTGTCTTTTCTCTAGTCTATCAGCTCAAAATTTCGGACGGCTAACGCAGATAGTCTTCGATTGATTTTGTGCGAAATTCCATAAAAACGAACAAATAACTGAGAAATAATGAGTGAGCGAATGTTTTTTTTATATTAGATAAAGTTTAAAGAAAGCACATTTAGAAGAAAAGTCTAAATTGGAAAGGAATGCGAAACCAGATTCAACTTTATTTTTTCCCGCTCCTTATTATTTAGATTAGACCATAAACGTAAATGGTAAATTTAATTTAAATATAATTACATACAGAGCTGCACACGAAATAAATAAGATTTTCCTTTAATCAACTAAAGAAATTGGTGTTTTTTTTATTTAAAATGCTTAATCCATTAAGATTACACTTAATTCATCATAAACTTTTCTTGCCGTGATCACCGTCTTATTCAAAATAGAAAATTTAAATCCTCATCGTTTTAATTTATTTTACTTCATGGACGAAAGCTAAAATAGGTAGGAACGTTTTTATTCTTGTATTTGTTAATATAAATTTCATACTTTACCTTGTATATTTTCGGCAAATCTCATTGATGCTATGATTGAGAATATGCTGTATAAGTATGTAAAGAAAAAATAATACTATAAAAATAACTGAAGAAATAATGTTAGAAACTGACATAAAGTTTTTCTAAGCATTGTCTCTTCTTTTACACATTGTTGAATAAGTTTCAACTCTTTTATCTCGTCTGTCGGGGCAAAATATTTGAGAAAATGCAGAGATTTAGTAAGATTTTTATGTGTAAAATTTATATAAACTATTTGTTTGATCAAACATAAGAGTAGCTATCACGTTATTCTAATACATTAAAGATCTGATACTGATATAAAAATAAACCCAAAGTTTTAACAGAAGGAGAAAAATACTTTATTGTGAAAAAAATTATTTATCCTTATGGATTAAATCGGGATTTTCAAAATAAAAATGCTGAATCTATAAATAAAAATACTTGTATTAGAAATTTATTTCAGATAAACATATACAAAATAAATGTAGGGGTAGAGGTAAAAATAGAGAAAGAATGGACTGATTTTGAACATTTTTGTAAAAAATCTAGATTCTGCTCTTGACAGATCTGTTTATTTTGTAAAATTTATAATAAACAATTATTTGAACTAAAAGATACAAAACATAGATGTTTATCAACGTATATGTTAAATTTTGAATTTAAACGTATTCACATCAGAGACTTAATTATAGATTTAATTAAATTAAAATTGAATCAAATATCAATAATTTTTTCAGAAAAGAAAAAAAGAAAAATCTTATATAGTGATAGATTTTAAACATAAAGTATATGATGATTGATCTCTACCTTACCTAATCCATAAAAGTGGTCAAGAAAACATCTTCCTCATAAAATCATTCCAACCTATAGTTAGTTTCAAATATAATAAGCCCCCCCTCAGTGGCACAGCGGTATGTCTGCGGACTTACAACGCTAGAATCCGGGTTTCGATACCCGTGGTGGGCAGAGCACAGATAGCCCATTGTGTAGCTTTGTGCTTAATTACAAACAAAATATAATAAACCTATTGAGCCTCTTATCTTCAACTATAAAAACAATCATTGAATAATTCAATCCAACAGAAGTTGACAAATTCCCTTGTAACTGTGGTAATAGTGATTTCAAGGACTTTTTTCATAATCATATAAATTACAGGTAATTTAGAGGTTGACAAGGAATTAAAATCAAAATTAGAGAAAGGTACTAAATTTAGAATTTTGAAAAAGACAAAAAATATGAAATCTTAAATAATTTGAAAAAAAATATTGATAATTATATTATTAAAATAACTTAAAAATCTTACTATCCAGCTTGTTTCTTCTCTGAATGGAAATTATATTTTGTTAACTTTCATAAAAACCGATTAAGAATTTTATATTTATCTCAATAATATTTTAGATGTCTTATTTCAAAAAAATAAAAATACTGTTATCAAATAATCCGTATCATTATTTTGAGATTATTAAAAATAATATTCCAGTTTGGAATGTTTGAATAATTTAAATTCTTAAAAAACAACCAACTCTATTTCTACGTATACTTTTACTACATTGTATACTAAAATTGATTTGAAAAACTTAATAAGGGTATTGAATGACTTGTTAAATAATTTTGTAAATTTAGAAATATATATATGTACTCCAAAATATAAATTTTCTAAAATTCAATGTAAAAATATTACTCCCTTTTGTGTTTATAATAGTTATATTACTTTCAACGAACAAGTATATAAACAAACAGTGGGAATTCCAATAGGGGCGACTTTCTCTTCAAATATGGCCAACCTGTATCTGTTTCTGAAACAGGTATTAAATCTTAATGTATACATCTACACCTTCCGTTAGATAGATGATTTAATTTCCATAAATAACTTTAGTTTTACTCCTAACGTAATATATCTGAAAGAACTCGCAATAGAAAGAAGCAATAGTAATTATGCTCATGCTAATTATTTAGATTTAGATATTAATTTTGTAGAAGGCAGAGTACTGTTCACTATTTTTGATAAAAGAAGGGAATTTAATCTTCCCATCCTTGGTCTACCCACCCTCAATAGTGATATTCCGCGTATAATGTTAAAATGTATTATTACATCTCAGTTATAAAGGTTTTAAATAGTCTGTAACAATAGTAATTATTTTATGGATAATGTTTTATTAATCATAAATAAAATGAAAGATAATGGATACAAAGACTGGCAATTAAATAAATTATTTATACTTTTTTTTTATAATAAATACGAAAATATTTTAACAAATATACTTTCGATTATGGAAAATACCTTATGGAGACATTAGAGGTCGTTAGTTACTCTTGGTTTATAAGTAAGTATATTCGATATACGGGGACGTTAAAATTATTTTTAAGTAGCTTGTTGTGGCTTTACAGTGTTATATTTGAATAAATCTTCCTGAGAAAGGTCGGGTATGTAAGAATTATTAAGGTAGGTTTGTAGTTCTGTTTAAGATAATTTACTTTAGTTTAAGGTATTTCTGTGAGGACGGAGTTTGTGAGTTTCACGTAGTAGACATTTTAGGGTCGTTTTATTAATACTTTAACCATGCGTTAGTCTTCTGTAAAAAAAGTTTTCCACGGTTACACTTCCGGGGTCTGAGTGGACCCTATCATAAACAATTAATTAAAAACTATTTAAACTATAATAAGCTATTATTTTGGAAACAAAAAACACTAACACTCAAAATATTTTCCAATATTTAAATGAACAATGAATATTGCAACTTGTTTCTTTTTTGCCACCTAAACTAAGTGTACAAACTAGCTGAATACTGAAAATATCGAGAACAACAAACATGTACTTGCTTCTATCTATCGACGCCGATATTTACAAAATATGTGGGGTCCTTGATAACCCCGGAAGACTAACGCAGGGTTAAGATCTTTAAAGGTAACTGCCTTGTAAGAACTATTAAGGTAGGGCTTGTAGTTCTCTTTAAGATCTTTTAATTTCGCTTCTCATTTTTTTGTAAGGGCAGAGATTTAGGGTTTGACATAGTATAAATTTTAGGGTGGTTTCATTTCTAACTTAAGGGTAACTGTTTTCCCACAACTGGCTGCAGACAATGAAAGGCAGTAGGAGTTGAGACGTTGTGGGTGTAAGCACTCTTCTCCGTACCCTTTAATTGATTTTTCCTTGATGCTGATAGCTGGTTAGTTTGTCATCACTGTCAACAACGTTGGGATATTGTCTGATAGATGGGCCGGCCCGGCATGGCCAGGTGGTTAGGTCGCTCGACTCTCAATCTGCGGGTTCGAATCCCCGTCCCAACAAACATGCTCGTCCTTTCAGCCGTGGGGGCGTTATAATGTGACGGTCAATCCCACTTTTCGTTGGTAAAAGAGTAGCCCAAGAGTTGGCGGTGGGTGATGATGACTAGCTGCCTTCCCTCTAGTCTTACACTGCTACGTTAGGGACGGCTAGCGCAGATAGCCCTCATGTAGCTTTGCGCGAAATCCATAACAAACAATCTGATTAGCTATTAATATGGAAATAAACTAGAGCCTTTAATTACTGAAAAACTTGGTATTTCGTTAATATTTTCCACAGAACTCCCTGATCTCAAACAATCTGAAAGAAATAATCATCGTAAGCACCAAAACGTTAAACACATCGATCAAATAATATAATCTGAAACAAATCTACCATATTTGATAGAATACAATGCGCACTTTTTTCTCCTCGAAATTCCTCTCGAAATATTTACTGCGCATTACATACGCGCACGTTCAGTTTTGTTAGATATTTTACTAGAAGCTACCACCGAAAATCATTAAAGCGACAATTCTAGTGATGACTAAGATTTTTTGGAAGATGAGTGATTAGCTTAGTGTATTTTCACGTATAAACTTTTCAATAAATTTTATAAAACTTGCACGTAAAAAAAAAAAAAAAATTCCAGTGAAAAATTTTAAAAAATGTCAATAC